GTACTGTTTTTCAGATACAGACACTAAGGTTCAGGAATAGTAAGTGACAAAAGCATGAGACTAGTCAATGGCAGAGGGAGAACTTGAACCCAAATCTTCTGATTTTAAGGCTATATAATTAAGTACCACTGCCTTGTATTCGCTTCCCCATTTCCAAGTGGAGATTGAAGAGAGGTTGGAGATATCTGGGTAAGGAGACTCCTCGACTGGCAATCACTAGTAATAGAAGTAATGAGGAGCCCCAGCACTCTGAGTGCTGTTAGCAAAATCCCTAACCTCCTCCCTCCCAAATCTCATGGCTTTCCGACCAGGTTCCACTATAAGGACTAATCTCCTTCTGTCCCTTATCCCTGTTTACACCAGGGATAGCTCAAGGAGGCCCCCAGGAGCCCTGGATACTAACCCCATACAGCCCCAGGGCCAGAGGGCACCCCACCCAGCCCTTCCCACCCCCCCCCACTGCTTTCTGTTTCCCTATAGCACCTATCTCTTATAACTCTCTGACATAACATGTCGTATCTTTTAACTTCGATCTGGTATCTACCCTATAAAATCTAAGCTTTTGAGGCAGGGGTTTTATTCAGCGCTGTATTGACAAACACATAAAACAGCACTTGACATAAAGTAGGCACCATAATATCTGTTGAACAAATGAAGATAGATGAGTGTTCTCCTCTCACATATGTGCAAAGGAAAAGCAGAATGCTTCTAATTCTTATGTATGTGTCCGCAAATGCACCTTACTATTATCTCCATTTCTAAAGAATCTAGAGCATCCAAGGTTGCTGTGGAACTAAGTTTGAGCACCATCACCCAAGGGCACGGCTACTGGTCTCAAGAGGAATGAGGTAAGATCCACATGCTTCTGGAAAAGTATACTCTATGTCCCAATATCTGTTCAATCAGCCACAGATATTTCCAGAGTGCCTATCTGTGCCAGCCAGTGTTCCAGGGCTGAGGATAAAGCAAGGAAGAATCAGAGACCCCCTCTGCTTTCCAGAGCGTAGGCTCCTACGGAATGATAACACTACACAGGGAAAAGAAGGCAAGGTGTTGTAGAGCTGGAAGGGCTGTACAGATAGGTGGTTTCTGATGAGTTGATTTTTTATCCTAAATCTAGGAATGTTTATTTTTTGTTTGGTTGCAAATTTATAAATTTATTGTCCAGCGTATTATGGGGGTAAGATGTTAAGGTTACATATATTTCCCTTGCCCCTTACCCCCTCGAGTCAAAGCTTCAACGTTCCATCCCCCAGTTGGTGCAATCACACTTATTATGTATGATATAACGAAACGCCATTCCATCCCCTGCCAAACCTGCCCAACCCGAGTGAGTTATTGCTATATGTCCACTTAGGTGTTGTCAGTTAATACCAATTTGCTGGATGAGTACATGTGGCTATTTATTCCATTCTTGGGATACTTTATTCAATAAATGGGTCCAGCTCTACCCAGAATATACAAGAGGTGCCATATCACATTTTTTTCGTATAATCTCT